CTGACTAAATACTTTTTTCCCCCACTGTATGTACAGGGGGTACCGGTACCGATTCAATGTGTGGGGGTACAGGTTAGTTGAGGTAATTTGTACATGTAGGTAGGGGTAAAGTGACTATGTATAGATAATAAACAGCGAGTAGCAGCAGTGTAAAAACAAAGGGGGGGTGTCAATGCAAATAGTCCTGGTGGCCATTTGATTAATTGTTCAGCAGTCTTATGGCTTGGGGATAGAAGCTGTTAAGGAGCCTTTTGGACCTAGACTTGGTGCTCCGGTACCGCTTTCCATGCGGTAGCAGAGAGAACATTCTATGACTTGGGTGACTGGAGTCTTCGACAATTTTTTGGGCCTTCCGCGGACACCGCCTAGTATATAAGTTTTGGATGGCAGAAAGCTTGGCCCCAGTGATGTACTGGGCCGTACGCACTATCCTCTGTGGCGCCTTACGGTCGGATGCCGAGCAGTTGCCATAACAGGCGGTGATGCAACCGGTCAGGATGCTCTCGATGGTGCAGCTGTAGAACTTTTTGAGGATCTGGGGACCCATGCCAAATCTTTTCAGTCTCCTGAGGGTGAAAAGGTGTTGTCATGCCCTCTTCATTACTGTCTTGGTGTGTTTGGACCATGATAGTTTGTCGGTGATGTGAACACGAAGGAACTTGAAACGCTCTACCCACTCCACTACAGCCCTGTCGATGTGAATGGGGTCGTGTTCGGCCCTCCTTTTCCTGTGGTCCACCATCAGCTCCTTGGTCTTGCTCACGTTGAGGGAGAGGTTGTTGTCCTGGCACCACACTGCCAGGTCTCTGACCTCCTCCCTATAGGCTGTCTTATCGTTGTCGGTGATCAGGCCTACCACTGTTGTGTTGTCAGCAAACTTAATGATGGTGTTGGAGTCGTGCTTGGCCACGCAGTCGTGGGTGAACAGGGAGTACAGGAGGGGACTAAGCACGTACCCCTGAGGGGCCCCCGTGTTGAGGATCAGCGTGGCAGATGTGTTGTTGCCTACCCTTACCACCTGGGGGCGGCCCGTCAGGAAGTCCAGGATCCAGTTGCAGAGGGAGGTGTTTAGTCCCAGGGTCCTTAGCATAGTGATGAGCTTTGTGGGCACTATGGTGTTGAACGCTGAGCTGTAGTCAATGAACAACATTCTCACATAGTTGTTCCTTTTCTCCAGGTGGGAAAGGGCAGCGTGGAGTGTGATTGAGATGGCATCATCTGTGGATCTGTTGGGGCGGTATGCGAAATGGAGTGGGTCTAGGGTTTCCGGGATGATGCTGTTGATGTGAGCCATGACCAGCCTTTCAAAGCACTTCTTGGCTACCGACGTGAGTGGTACGGGGCGGTAGTCATTTAGGCAGGTTACCTTCGCTTTCTTGGGCACAGGGACTACGGTGATCTACTTGAAACATGTAGGTATTACAGACTCGGTCAGGGAGAGGTTGAAAATGTCAGTGAAGACACTTGCCAGTTGGTCCGCGCATGCTCTGAGTACACGTCCTGGTAATCCGTCTGGCCCCGCGGCCTGTGAATGTTGGCCTGTTTAAAGGTCTTGCTCACATCGGCTACGAAGAGCTTGATCACAGAGTCATCCAGAACCGCTGGTGCTCTCATGCATGCTTCAGTGTTGCTTGCCTCGAAGCGAGCATAAAAGGCATTTAGCTCGTCTGGTAGGCTCGTGTCACTGGGCAGCTCGCGGCTGGGTTTCCCTTTGTAGTCCGTAATAGTTTGCAAGCCCTGCCACATCTGACGAGCGTCAGAGCCGGTGTAGTAGGATTCAATCTTAGTGCTGTATTGACGCTTTGCCTGTTTGATGGTTTGTTTGAGGGCATAGCGAGATTTCTTATAAGCGTCCAGATTATTGTCCCACTCTAGCCTTTAGCTCGGTGCGGATGTTGCCTGTAATCCATGGCTTCTGGTTGGGATATGTACCTATGGTCACTAAGGGGACGACGTCGTCGATGCACTTATTGATGAAGCCGGTGACTGAGGTGGTATACTCCTCAATGCCATTGGATGAATCCCGGAACATATTCCAGTCTGTGCTAGCAAAACAGTCCTGTAGCATAGCATCTGCGTCATCTGACCACTTCCGTATTGAGCGAGTCACTGGTACTTCCTGCTTTAGTTTTTGCTCTTAAGCAGGAATCAGGAGGATAGAGTTATGGTCAGATTTGCCAAATGGAGGGTGAGGGAGAGCTTTGTATGCGTCTCTGTGTGTGGAGTAAAGGTGGTCTATAGTTTTTTTTCCTCTGGTTGCACATGTGACATGCTGGTAGAAATTAGGTCAAACGGATTTAAGTTTGCCTGCATTAAAGTCCCTGGCCACTAGGTGCGCCACTTCTGGATAAGCATTTTCTTGTTTGCTTATGGCCTTATACAGCTCGTTGATTGCAGTCTTAGTGCCAGCATCGGTTTGTGGTGGTAAATAGACGGCTACGAAAAATATAGATGAAAACTGTCTTGGTAGATAGTGTGGTCTACAGCTTATCATGAGGTACTCTACCTCAGGCGAGCAATACCTCGAGACTTCCTTAATATTAGACATCGCGAACCAGCTGTTATTGATAAATAGACACTCACCCCCACCCCTCGTCTTACCAGACGTAGCGGCTCTGTCCTGCCGATGCACGGAAAACCCAGCCAGCTGTATATTATCTGATTCGTCGTTCAGCCACGACTCGGTGAAACTTAAGATATTACAGTTTTTAATGCCCCGTTGGTAGGATAGTCTCGACCGGAGATCATCCAGTTTATGCTCCAGAGATTGTGTGAATTTGACCATTTTCCTGTCCTGCTAAGCATTCAAAATGTAACGTGTACTTTTGGGTGTCAGGAAAAATGTATGGAGTAAAAAGCACATATTTTCTTTAGGAATGTAGTGAAGTAAAAGTAAAAGTAGTTAAAAGTACAGATACCCCCAGAAACTACTTAAGTTGTACTTTAAAGTATTTTTACCAAAGTACTTTACACCACTGCGGTGCTCATACATTTTATTTTCTCTGTCAGTACTTTTAAATACTATTACTGACCAAGTATGAATTATGCACTCTGATGTGTGAATGAAACAGTGTTTGTAAATGAGAAATTATTAATAATATTAAAGGACTTATAAAGTAGATTCTGTTATTGTACGGTTTATTGAGTTTCCCCAGAAATCCTATTCTGAAACTGTCACTCACTATACATGACGTTGCCAAGATTGTTAACTTCCAAGTACCATTTGTTCAGGTTTCATTCCCATTTATCAACCGTTATGAGAGAGTTGAATTATACATACTCATTGTAACCAACTTATCTTGTCAATCATAAAATATAGGCAATAGCTAAGTATCTCGCCTATGGACGATCTGTTGGATATGTTTGTTCCATCAAGAGCAAGTGGACATCTTGAGCTTACCTTATCTGACCTGAATATTGGCTTAATTGGCTTAATTGTATTGGGTCTCTTGTAAACTTATTATAGAACACCACTACTGATGACTGATACAAAGTCAAAGGGGAGAGGTTTGGGGGACAGTAGTAATTGCAGGAATAGAAAAACATATTTATTCTTATGCAACAGTAACTTAATCAATTATGAGAGGTTATGAGGGTCAACATAGCTAAGCCTGTTTGTATTGATAATTGTTTTACTAGAATTCAGTCATATGAAACTAAAATGTCATATTTGAGCTGTGTGGTGGGTGGGTGGGGTCTCTAGATTGTCCAATTAACCTAGACAATTAGATGGATAGCATACATAGCTATACCTTTAACAATTGTTATACCTGGTACCAACCAGACTGACAACATAGTGGGCTAAGATATTATCATTTATTGACTCCTACAACCTACATTAGACTGTTACAACCATGCCTAATTTAATCTGTGCAAAGAATATTCATGCATTTATTCATTCATCCGAGTAGTAACAACACTGCCATCAAGTGGAGTTTTGCAAAATGGCAGGGATTGAAGATTCCATATGAACTCGTAAATTGACAGATCTAGGATCAGTTTACACTTCCTGAAAAAATTAGGAAAAGACGCAAGATCTGACCTTAGATCAGTTTGTAGGGTCAATCATCCTACTCCACATTGTGCCCTTGATTTTGGGGTTCCTTGAATAATATTTGCTTGACATTACATTTTTCTCACCACCAAAATACCCCAACCAATGAATCAATCGCAAATGTCCCTTTGACGTCAAATCAGTCACGTGGATTTGCTCATCAGTGCGCACGTGGCTGTTTTACAGTTAGCTAGCTGCTTACTCTGTCATCGGAATTCTAATAGAAGGTAAAGTTGTTAAACTAGCTAGCTATATAGTCTCCGATTGAATTGCATTTCGAATAAATGTTTTGTTAATATTTGATCAGATGTTATATTAGGTAATGGCCCATTTTGATGATGATAAAGTGATGTGATCCAAGCTAACATATTAAGCTAGTTAGGTATCTAGGTAGGTAACATTAGCTAGCTAGCTAGGTTAGGTAGCAACTGAGTAACGCATGGTAGCCGAACCCTGCAATTTACATGTCAGACCGAGTTTACTAGCCACGGTATCCAGACCAGATAAGTGGCATTGACATGTGAGAAAGAAACCCAGGTTGATTTGTTAAGGTTAGCTAGCTAGCTAACAAACCTGGCTGCAGTCGAACACTTCACATCTTAAAACAGAACGGAAACTTTGTTATCCATATTTTTTACCTCTGTGACTTCACTAGGGAGAAAGGATGCCTCTGTGCTCACCCACTTGGAAAGAAAAATGGAGAACAAAGTTTCAGGTCTGTTTCTACAGAAAATAACAGAATTCGTTTGGAAGAAACAGCTCTGCAGGGTAAAACTTAACTTTAACGCATTGTTGTCCAAATTGTGATGTGTCTATGATACATTGCGAAGATACAAATCACTGAACCTCATGCTTGTTCTGAAGACAATTTGAAGGTATTGTTTGACTTTAGTGACTAATAATGCAGACACCTCTTTTGCTTGTATTTTTGACTAGGGTGTCTGACATGGACAGCAACAACAGAAAGAAGGTGAAGTTTGACTGGCTACAGACAACACTCGGCTCGCCTACAAAGTTCCGCAAGAGCAATGGTGGAACACCCAAGCCCACCCACTGGAGTGTGTCGCCCAGTGATGTTTTGACTTCCCCTGATCTGAACGTGTCGACAGGGTCGGCTGGCCTGGGAGAGCTGGAGGACATCTGCCTAGACACACCCAAGAGAAAGGAGGTCACCTCGCCAGACGACCCCAGTGGGATCAAACCCAGTGGGAGCGACCTCTTCACAGGCAAAATCAAAGGGCTCAGGAAGCTCTCCAGAAAATGTCTGAAAGATCTCACTCCCTCCGAGTCCAAGGTAAATCATGACTGTGGACTCTGCTAAGCAGTTCAGTGCACGGACCATTTCTCTGTTCTAGTTCTCCCAAATGTCCTCTTTCTTTGCCTCCTCTCCTACATGAACGCAGATGGCCAGTGTTACATGTCATTTACTGGTGTTTGCTTCCATTGGATACATCTTTGTCAATTTTGTTTTTCCTTAGGCAGTTCTCATCGACACAACATCCCAGTCAGAAAACCGTGTCTCCTTACCTACACCTTTAGCGTGTGGTCTGAAGAGGAAAGACCGGACTCCACAGGAGGGGTCGAAGGCCATCTACCTGAAGGCTTTGACCGCCGCAATCAGGGGAGGAGGAGAGAAGCAGTCCCCGGCCAAAGTGACCGCCAAGAAAAGCCCTTCTCTCGCCAAGAAGAAGTCCACAAAAAAGAAGCAGTCTTTGGACACGGCCAATGACGACATGCTCAGATTGGAACCAGACGACTGTGCGGCTCTCGATTTGGACTGCTGCTCAGCCCAGTCAGAGAGCGAGTCAGAGGACATGACTCCTGTCGAGGGCGTAGAGTACTATTTCCGCCCAATGGTGTTTGTGGAAACAGGGACACAGGATGAGAACGCTGGTCTCAAAAAAGACACAAGGGTGAGTCACAGGAAAAAAGGTTCCAAAGATTGGTTAGCAGGAATTTACATGTTTAGTATGGATAATTGGTTGTGGGGGTTCAATTAAGATGAATATTTTGTTCCTGATCTCTATTGAATAATATAGTCTGTCTCCTATCTCCCTATTCTCTCCTTTTACATCTCAGAGTGTGGTGCTGAAAGGGGATGACTCCCCTGATTGGTCAGATGTTGAGGACCCTGTGGTGGTGGAGACCTTCTCCCAGGAGGAGTCTCCATCGCATTCCACTGCCAAGGTGGAGCCCAAGAGAGAGGTCGGCAGCAGTGACTCCTCCTTACCTGCTCTGGACTACGTTCCTAACTCTCTACCTTACTTCATGAAGCCTCAAACATACCCCTCAGACACCTGGAAACTCAACTTTCCTGCTGTGAATGCTCAGAGTGGTAGCATTACAACGCCCTCTCTCACCTCCCCCTCTACAAACGGACTGAATGGTGCTGTTCAGCCACCCAGTGAGAGCCCAGCTCAGCCCTTCCCTCAGTCATGGAGGACGGTGTTCATTTCCTCCAAGCAAATCCCCCCAGAGAAGCCAAACAGTGCACAGCTGCCTCTCCCCGGGACACCCAGGACTGGCATGGGGGGCATTGGAGCCCCGCGCGCCCCCAGCAGTGTGTCCTCCTCCCCGGACCCATTTGCTCTGTGGCAACCTGCAATACTCTCCAGCAATGTTTCGCCTGCTACACACAAAATCCACCCCCTGTTCTCCAGCCCCTATCGCCCCTGTGAACAGACCTCCCAAAGGTACTCTGACGGCGGCCCCTCCTTGCCCTTTTCCCCCTCCTCCCCCTCCAGGTGCTATGAAAACATCACCTCCACCAGGACAATGTCAGTGGGGGTGGAGCCTATCTGGACATGTAACCCCTCCCAGCGGAGGGCCAGCCAACATGGCTTCGTGGACACCCACTGCCACCTGGACATGCTGTGGGGCAAGCTGGGCTTCCGGGGCACCTTTGCCCGCTTCCGCAGCCTGCACCAGAGCAGCTTCCCGACAGATTTTCACGGCTGCATCGCCGACTTCTGCAACCCTCGGATCATGGTGCGGGAGGTGCTGTGGGAAGGGCTGCTGGCGGAGGAGCTGGTCTGGGGGGCTTTCGGGTGCCACCCCCACTTCGCCAAGGAGTACTCTGAGGTCCACGAGCGCAGCATTCTAATGGCCATGCGACACCCGAAAGCTATAGCCTTCGGAGAGATTGGCCTGGACTACTCCCACAAGAACTCCACCAACACATCCAGGCAGAAAGAGGTACGGTCAGGGCTTCATTTTCCCCCTCATTCAACTGACCCATTGAAGTAGTTAATAAGCTGCTGCTTGGTTGAGGTAGTGATGGTGTTGTTTGGCACCCCCTGTAGGTGTTTGAACGTCAGCTGAAATTGGCTGTGGCTATGAACAAGCCTCTGGTGATCCACTGCAGGGACGCAGACGATGACCTGCTGCTGATCATGAAGAAGTGTGTGCCCCGGGACTATAAAATCCACAGGTCAGTGTCTGCATGTGTGTGTGTGTCTCAGTGATACTGTTCATGGGAAATTCCACAGTAACAGAATTACAATTTGACGCAGTTTTTTCACTTTAAAATGTATGCCAAACAAAAACCATTGATTTCAAAGTTTAACAATCCATACTCTATAGACGGGTTAGCATCACGAAAACGATGCGCACGCTTCAATGGGGCAGAAGTCTGCGTGTTGTTGTGATTCTGGATGGCCAGATAGCTAGCAACAATGACAAGAAGCTGCCATGTGGGGAATTGTAGGGTGCTCGTTTCAGCTTGTTTTCTTGTTCTTGATACCATGTCTTGTTGTGACTGATGTCACGTCTATGCTAATATGGCAAAAATTCACTAGCTAGCTAACCAACAACTGTAACGATGTATTTGACAGACAACAAGTGCTCATTGTGCAAATGTATTTATGTTTTCAATAAACATTGGAGACTAAATATAGTTTACATGTTGTCAACAATCTAAGCCAACCACGTCTGTTTTGCCCCATAGTTGCACACGCGTCGGTTTTGTTGCTAAACAACCAACCCGTCTATGCACAAGGACTGCTTTGAACAACTTCCACAGAAAAATTTACAAAAACGAATTTAGTGGAAGAACTTTGCAAACAGAATTATGGTAAAATCTCCCTCAGGTTTGTATGCGACCACATTTTTCCAAAAAATATCTGCTCCGAATTAAGATTCCAAGATGTCTGCAGAAAGAATGCGGTGTCAGCTATGACTTACTGTAATTCAAAAACAGAAGTGAAGTGGATTTACACCCAGTAACATAATTACATAATGGGTCCCTGATCTGTACTACACAGAAAAGCATAAATATGCATATGAATGTCATTGTCCATGTTTCACAAGTTTGGACATCACAGTAGAGTGGAGTACAGTATAGTTCAGTAGAGTACATTACAATATACTGTACTGTACTCTACTTTCCTTTACTGTATTGTACTAATGTATTGGATTGTACTCTACTGTGCTCTCACTGTACTGTGCTATCCAAACTTGTGAAACATATCTATGATAGGTTTGGATTTGGTCCAGTCCGTTCCATCTGTGGACGTTAACATCAACGCCAGAGTGGACTGACCAAATTTCAACTACTTTTCAACGTCCATGGACGTCCGGTGTCGGTCAGTGCTCAGGGGGTGGGCTGCTGGTTACAGTAAACTGAAAAAGAGGGGGCTCATTGGTAGGTGTCGGTAAGAGCTGGGAGAGGTGACATTATCTGGAGAGTGAGAAAGGCGGGGAGATGGAGTGGTTGTCCAGACTCAGGCTGTTTTAACACTTGGTTTGACCACCAGATGAAAGAGAAAGAAAACAGTTATCAGCTGAACATAAGTGTGACAGTGGAAGGGAGGAGAGTAGCAGGTGACCCAACTGTGGGTTGTGACTTATGATTTCCTGTTGTAGCCAGTTCAGTTGCTGTAATTCCATTACTGATGTTTTGGTAATTCCGTTACTAATTTTGTAACAGAATGACGAGTTTTAATCACATAATAATTCATAAGAAAAATTGATATCAGTAAAATCACTATAACTAATTGGTACGTCTACCATTACTTGTTAAGTCTGTGAACTTTTATTATCTTCACTCCACATGAGGGAGAGAAATTAGAAAAGATCTTAAAGGGATTCTCCAGTACTTTTGTATACTTTTTAGCCAGTAGTTCTGAAAGTAGCGCCCACGAGCCAAAGGTGGTCCCCGAAAAAAAAACATGTGCACCATGTCATTGCTCTCTTTCTCGCTCTGTGTGTGATTTTTGCTAGCTGTCACTCAAATGGCGAGGGGCTGGAACTCAAATTGCTAGGGGGTTGGCCCACGTGGGCGGAAATGTAGGGGAAATGGCGCAACACAGCTGCCAGAAAACAGTCGCTTTCAATCTAGGGATTTCATGGCTAATTGAGGTAAGTCAGTAATTCTGCTAATAGATTATGCATGTATGAACTACACATTGAAACATTCAGCCTAAAGCGGGAGGTTTAAAAACAAATACTTACTAGTCGCCAAACTACCGGAGTATGTCTTTAAAGATATGTGTGTTTTTGGTGACAGAATTACAAGGCACAAGGCAATGTTTCTTAAACTTACATTTGTCTTTCTTTTCCACAGACACTGTTTCACCAACAGTTACCCGGTGATCGAGCCCTTCCTGAAGGAGTTTCCCAACCTGTGTGTGGGCTTCACGGCCCTCATCACCTACCCCAGGGCACACAAGGCCCGTGATGCCATCCGCAAGATCCCCCTCGACCGCATCCTCCTGGAGACAGATGCACCCTATTTCCTGCCCCGACAGGTACACACAAACAACACACGACAACACAACACACATTTGGGAGGGTAGTTCGATGGGCACCGATTCACAAGCTAGAGGTATACAGATGAAAGTTGAAGGTTGACAGTGCATGTATGTAAATCGTTTCTGTTCTCTGTGTAACGGTAGGTTAGTAAAGATGTCTGTAGGTTTTCCCACCCAGGCATGGGTATTCACACGCTGCGTGAGATCAGCCTTCTGAAGGGAGAGAGCATCACCACGGTGCTCACCACGATCCGACGCAACACCACCCAGCTATACGGCATATGACCACGGCGACAGGGAAGGTCACCACGGAGGCCATGACTACCACCCTTGTAGCCATGGAAAGTTCAAGGTGTAGCTGTGATGGCGTAGTGACCTGACACGCACTCGGTCTCCTCAAACATAGGTAGCCTCATGGAGGAGAGAATAAGTGTTATTGAAGGTTCACATAAAATAATCAATAATAGTAATTCAAAATATATAGAATAAATCAACTGTATTTTTTCCAAGCTGGTTTTGTTCGCAGCCTGTGGCATTTAATGTCTGAAAATATATTTTTGCTTGTTAACACATTGCCGAAAAATGTATATAATAGAATAATAAAAAGGATATAGTTGTCAAGCTTTGTTTTAGCTGGCCCCAAGCCCCTGCATAGTTTTAGGAGTTAAGTCTGAAACCGAGGCTACCTCAGTTTGAGCTTCACTCTGTTCTAAAAGATCCCAATGGTTTCAGCAACTATGATCTCACCCTGAACATAAGGCTACATATGCATCAACTGGAATCCAGATCTTTTTTTAATTTGATTTTTTACATATTTTTTATTAGATTTGACGGATGCTTTAATTGGTTTCATTTTGGTGTTTGTAATCATTTGACTCTACCTTTTTGTTCTGCATTTATTTTCCTCTTGTCTGCATGTTGTTTTGCTGACTTGTGAAATGGTTTGGTTTTGATGCAGTCGATGTAGATGCCTTCCTTCCCTTCCAGGTTCCTTCCTCACTATCAAAGGATGTTATGTATTCATTAAAAAGCTTCCTTTTACTTTCTCCTGATTTTTGTGTGAATTGATACATGAGCACTTTGGTCCTTTGAATACAGCTCTTTCTCTCACGCGCCCCTCATTAAACTCTTCTCCTAAGAACATGGAGTCTGCTGCATTAGGCCAATTTACTCTCAGCTGGTAAATACCTATATATAAGGATGAGGATGCTGGTGTACTCAGTGGTTGGTAATGGTAGGACAAGTATTAACCTTTTTTTTTTAAGGTTAATACTTTACTGTTTGAAGTTCTACCTTATTTCCAGTCTGTTTTTATTTGTAGTTCGATGGGAAGGAACTGTGTATGCTTCAAGTCTGATACACAGTAAGGAAAGATGTTGAGTGTGTAAAGGGGTTGCAGGGGTTTGTATAGACTAGAGGGAAACTGAGTAGAATGTCCATATAGGGCCTTGTCTTATACAGATTTCTGTAATGTTTTGTATGGGGGGGGGGGGGGAACCAGGCTGAACATCTCTGGTGTTAGGGAGAAATAAGGTTTAATAGAGACAGGAAGTGGCTGAGTGACCGGTCCATTAGCCACTTCCTGTGAGCACGCAGAGCTGTATTAAGAGAGTTTAGCTTCAGCACTTCCATTTGAGAATGATTGACAGGAGCACCCAGTGACACATCCAGAGACACTACCATCATACCAGATCAAGGTGGAAAAGCGCCTAGGACAATGGGTTCAATGTGTGAATGGTACCTAAATGCCTCTACTGAACCCAGAGAAACCCATTACTCATGATTTGGAGTTATTCATTCCCACACACATCTCCCATGAAGCTGTTTTGTGGTGTTCTATATAGTTCCGGGTATGCGGGTACACTCTTGTAGGAAGGGCTGGCTTATATATGTGCACTTGCCGAACCCCTTCCAGGTGAACAAGCTGTGCCTGGAGTTAGAGAGAACACTCTTGAGAGGCGAGGCCTTCTAATACAACCCAATAAAACACAAATGTGGCCCACATGGTGCACTGCCAGAGGTGCCCTAGTTCCCCAGGTCTGAGTAGCAGCCTCTTCAGGTGACCTGAAACAACAGGATATTAAACAAGACACAAAGAGAAGAGAGTTCTTTCGTTCACTGAATACATGGTCATAATATAGCATGTTTCACAGGGTTATGTCAAGCGCCATATTCACTGCACTGTGTCTGTAAACTGACCAGAACAAATGAGTTATACTTGCAGTAAACTCAGCTGAGGGGACTTATTTCTGGCAGATGTAGTGAGATCGATGGGCTGTTTCATATTCTCTTGGCCCTCAAATTCAGAATGTTTTGCCATGGGGAGCCGTGACCTAAAAAAGTCTGGTTACTAGAGAACTCTTTGAAGATAAGGATGAGAGATCTGTTCAAAGAAAGACCCAAAATAACCCAGGGAGTAATGAAGCAGTGTTATTTTATTCATCTTTTATAATTCAAACGATGTTCACACAGTAAATCTGGTATAAGACAAATAGAGAAAAGAAAGTTGGAGAACAGGAAATGGAAGGTTCTTCGTATTCTGTGTCTATGCCAAGTTGTGATCATTCTGAAACACAAAAACATGATTTTAAACAGTGCTGCTCTGGAACATTTAATGCACTCTGCTGTCTGTCTGGTGGTTTAGATATGACAGACGACTGTTCTTTGGCTCCAAATATGGTTCGTTCCAAATATGTGCTAATAAGTTGTTATAGCCACCATCATGAACAGGCAGTTACTCTTTATCCAGTGGCGACCTGTCATTCAGGGCAGGTGGGGCTCTTAGCAAAAACATTTTTTAATGTTTTATTTTTGTTGTTGCCTGTTTTGCATGTTATTTTGGCATTAATACGTGTCACATATCAGTTTGCAAACAATGTTTAAAAAATAATCATTGAGTTAATTGTTTCTTTTTTGCTTTCTTGAGTAAGGCAGCTCCAAAATGCAGGTGTTTCAGCCTAGCTCAGTGCTTTCTGTGGTGGTGATGGGGCAGCCAGCGGAAAATACGAAGGGGTTGGTAAGGTTCTCTATTTGCGCCGTGATTGTCTCAGTGTTCTGTCACTCATGGGGACACTACGTCACTGCAAAATCTACAGGGAGAGCTCGAAAATGTAAGCCCTTTGGGTCCTGCCATAGTTTTACATTAGAAGTGCCCATCCAAGAAGGCTCAAGGTCATTGGCCACAGATATAATTACATACAATCACGTTATATCTACTGTAGCTTTGATTGGACTGATCATGTCAACATCATACTTTCAAAATCTTAGCTAGCAAGCTAGACAAGCAGTCATCATCATGAATCAAGTCGACAATCTACTGGCAAATCCTTTTCAATCCTTGTCATAGGAAGATAAATGATAGATAAAACGTATCTTTGCGCATCAGCCATAGGACATAAACATTACACAACAAGTTGGAAATAGCAAATTCAACAATGAGTGGTTTGGAAGGAATCAGTGGCTAACTGCAAGCGTTGCAAAGCAATCACTGGCCTGCTATTCAGTGGAGAGGGTGTGTGGTCCATGTCTGGGTTTAAGGGTCTCTTTTCCAAGCTTAAAAGGATAAACATTCACATGCAACACCATGGGCCAGAAAAGGTTGAATAAATTGGCCATGCTGTCAATCCAGCATGACTTCTGCCGCGTTCAAAACAACTGGAAACTCGGAAACAGGGTTAATCTCAGACTTCAGTGAGTTCAAGACAACTGAGAACAAGCTCCTAGACTCGGAAAATACGTTTTGAACGGTCATCCAACTCTGAATTCCAAGTCGGGATTTGGGAACTCTGGCCTCTTTCTAGAGCTCCGACCTGAAGAGCACTGACGTCATGATTCAACCTTATTTTTTTCCCGAGTTCCCAGTTGTCTTGAAAGCACCATAAATCCAGAGAATGCCAGACTTTGATGACTAAATTTGCCCACAAGAACGACCACCACGCCGCCTTCCTGTTCAAGTGAGCACAGCACAACAATTTGAGTCCAAAAATGTATTGTATGCTGCTGCATAAATGATGTAATATACCAGGGAGATATGTATACTGTAGCTAAGAAGTAATATTACATGTTTGTTGTGTAGTAAGCTGTTAGTAGCCCATGTGCCTCACCCTAATAATCTGGTCCCTTTCCTCATAACTTAGCCTACTGTTCTGACTTGGTGGTGCACAGCCTATAGTCTGTTTAAGGGAAATGTCATCCTCAAATATTGTAATAGCTTTCATTGTCTGCTTATATGCACCCTTTATTTATCCTATGGTTCTGACTTGGTGTACAGGGAGAATACTGTAAGAATGGCCCATGTTCTGAATTATGTCGCTGTAGATTTAGAAAGTGCTGAACAAATAGTTAGATTGACTACATCCGTTTTAGCTCGCTGATTAATGTCTTAATCGAAATTACGGATTACCTCTTATCTGCTCATCGTTCCCTTATACAATAGTATGTACATCTCAATTGTCAGTAGAAACCACATTTGTTTAAGCAAGTCAGCCAAATCAGCTGTTTTTTAAAAGGCAGTAAATGAGGCTGAATTAACTGTTTCGCTGCCAGACAATGCTCTGCTGATAGCCAGGTGTAGCAGTGGTAAGGTGTTGGGACTCTGCTGTTGGGACAGCTTTATGTAGGCCCTAACAGTTTGTGGGCACTGTTTGTCACCATTATACTGCAATTAATGTATTGTTTAGTGTTGTGTAAGGGCTTTGCTGGTATGCATGAAAAATGTTTTTGTAGTTTGCCCCACCAGGATTTACAGGCTAAAATCGCCACCGTCTCTATCCAACTCGAGTAGTAGTGCTGTATGTAAGGTCAAATGTCAGAGCAGGGCACCTGCAGTGGCAGTATCTCCCAGGACGTCCTGTAGGATCTTCTGCAGCACGGCACCATACTCCTGGAACTCCTCCTCACTCATGGTGATGCCCATCTCAAAAGGAGCCTTGATCTGAGGACAGGCAGAGCTGATCAGTATCCAAATTAAACCTAGCCCTTATCCCTTGGCACGTTATGTAGTTTTGAAAGCAACAGATAGGGATAAGCAAAATGTTAATAAAGCCATTTTAGACACTGATAGGCTGAGTGGATGGTAGGGGCATTGGGTTGATTTGGAATTCAGCAGCAGTGTTGGATTTGTAGAGCTATTTTTAAGAGGTAAATCCGTGTGCATCAGCAACCTTCTTTGTGTCACTCACCGCAATGTGTTTGTCTTCCTGGCGAAGGGGACCCTCAAACAGCTTGGCAAAGCTCTCAATGTCTCGCCGACCAACTCGAGGGGGCTTCCCTTTACCCTGCAGGGCCGTGACAGTGAGTAACACACTACCTTATTCACACATTTACTAGAACATTACTCACACACGCACACACACACATTTTTCACACAATTCATTAACCTTACACACAAACACACGTCTGCTACACTTTACCTGTCTTACCTGTGGTTTCTGAGAGGGGCTGAGGAAGCTGGAGCCTGCACTGACTGACTTGGCCCACAGAGCCAGAGTACACAGCATCAGCATCATGAGACCTGTGTTTCTCTTCAGTAGCATGATGGATGGCTGTTTAAGCTTCGTAGAGAGAACTCACCAACTACAAAATAACAACATTTTTAAAGCACTGTATATTGTGATGCGTTTACCCAAAGCATTCCTATGGCACAATGTGACATACATTTAACTTGTGTATAAATTAATCGAGATACCAAACCCAAATATAATCTCCTCTGATATCTTATTTATTGAAAACGAATTGTTATACTCACCAGATATACCTTGGACATTGATATGGTTGGACTATGGTCTCTTTTCACCTTATATACCCATTCTGATGTTTACCTCTGAGACATTTGGAATCCAAACACATATTTGCTTCCATGTTTGCACATTAAAGTAAATACAGTCATAGTTGATGGAACTGGGAATAGATTGTTCAAATGAATAGATTGTTCAAATGTTTGAATAGATAAAATAACAAGAATAGCACAGTTGCAACCTGGTAACAGAAATGTTCTTGCTGATTATCACCTTTAATCATAGTATTATGATGACACCACACTGTCATGTGGGTTTTTGACCCTTTTAGAATGTGTACCCATACCTGAGCAACTGTTTGCTGGTCCATCAACAGAAACATTCTGTATATCCTGAGTCTACAATAGACGTATTCACTGTCCTATGTACTGAAATATGCCAAGAACACATTATCTCAACGTTCAGTTGTTCCATTCTTTGTCAGCTATAATTGGCAGAATGTTGTGCTTCATTATAAGCATCGAAATGGTATATTTCTGGTTATAAGATCTTTAAAAAAAATGTATATTTAACTCTGCATTGTTGGAAAAGGACCAGTGGGTAAGCATTTCACTGTTAGTCTACGCCTGTTGTTTATGAAGCATGTGACAAATAAAATTTGATTTGATACCTGAGACATAGTAAATGAACTATCTCTGTCTATACTTGCAGTCTGATATACATATACATATATAACATAACTGCATGTTCAAGAGCCTAAATCCATGATGTGATTAACCAAAAACAAATTATGACAACATTGAAAGCGTCAATAATAAATAAATAAATAAGATTGACACCGCTAGGTGGCAGTCCTGAGTCTACTTAGCTAGCTACTCCTAAATTATCACGTGATCCAAACAACATGGTTGCTTCGAAGTTGTGGATTGTTTGCCTTTCACTAGCTAGCTGACTTTGAGCTAATATATCGAAATCTAACAACCATGGATAAAAAGAAAAAGCAATTTGCTGTGACTGCTTCATCGGTGAGTTGTTTAGAATAATTCATATTGTCCAATTTTCGGTCAGCAGTGTGTGAACCATAGCTAGCTGGTTAGATAACGCCGGTAACATAGCTAGCCTAGCCAGCACGCTAACACATAGCAAGCTAGGATACTGTACGATACTCTTTTCTCTGCAGCTGGTTGAGCTCAAAGCTGAACTCTACAGAAGACAAGGGCAATTCCAACATGAAAAATTGGTGCAAGATGCTGGGACTAGTGCCAAATACCCCCAAATCAAGGTATGTATTGAACTTTGTACAGGACAGAGACATGTAATCAACCTACTTCGCCTCCAAAACGTTCATTGGGTTTTTGTCTCTTTGTAGAAATCTAATGTATGGATCAAACAGAATGGGGGTGTTTCAGCGCGGCCACAGAAAGATGTGGAACAGGTGGCAGAGGAAGAGAACAACCTTGACAAGGTAAAGTGAGTACAAAGTGATGTACTACACACTGACATCATATTTACTACACCATCACTGCCTTCTATTAGAGCTCATTGCTGTTTACCATTTCTCTCTTTGCCCACAGGCGCAAGCTAGAAGAGAAGGCTAAACTGTATGAGCAGATGACCAAAGGAGACTTTCCTGGTATAGTGTTGTCATTTGTTACACTGGTCAAGAAATGCTGTCATATGCTGTAGTTAAGGTTGACATGTGAAGGCCCTGCATATCCCTTTTGAATTTCTCGCATTGGAATTACTGTCCTCTTTTCCATTGTGTCAGATGAGGAGACAGAGGGACTTTTCCTGGTGGATTTCACCCAGAAGATTATTGACAAGAGGAGAGAGAATCATGCCTGAGGATAGAGAGAGCTCTTCCCCCAACCCACCCCCTGAGAACCCAGGTGAGGAATGGTAATGTCTGCACAGCACGAAGCCCCAAACTATTGTATATCTCATCTATAGCAGAGACAGAGTATTGGACTGTAGATGCCATTGAGTGGTCGAGGGTTAGGAATTGAAGAAGCCGTTGTCTGATTCCTCCTTAGGGTGGATTATGTGGATGCTTTGGGACAATCTCGGAAATGCATGAAGAAAGACCTACCAGTGTTCAAGAAAATGGACCAAGACTTTCAGGGAAAAGGGTATATTTAACTCTGATCAAACATGGAAGTGAATGTACGTTTGTTCGTAGATGTTAGTGACAATACTGTTCTGAGCTTTTTTTAATTTGTATGTTTGGGCTTGTGTTTGTGTACACAGACGTGACCCGGCTGAGAAGGACCTACTGTCAGAGGACATGCGTAGAGAGCTCAAGAGGTGGGAGAGGGAGGAGGAGGAGGCCATGAACAGGCCTGTGGGACTAATCCACTATGAGGACATCAGGGAGCAAGGTTGGCATGGCACTGGTTTCATAGATACAGTAAAGTACTTATCAAACTGTATTTACTGTACTTTTTGAACCAAACCCTGAGAGGTGTGTTCTCTGTGGATTGACTTGTCTCTTCTCTGATCTCTCGCTCTCTTCCTCCATCTCTCACTCTGCTACTTTTCCTCCCCGTTCTCTCTCTGTCTGTCCACGTCAGAGGCCCGTGAGCTGGGTGTGGGCTACTTTGCATTTTCTCAGGACCAGGAGCAGCGCAGGAAACGGAAAGAGACTCTGGACATGCTCAGAGACCAGGTGAGTTGCTCTCAGCCTCCGCAACCCCTGAGATTAGGACCTTCTTATATTACTTATCTATTCATTTAAATGACTGAGTTTGAAGCAGATTGTTGATGTTAATTCCAGTTTTTAATTTGATATTTTTTCTCGCTCCTTTTCTCACTCCCTCTCTTTCTCTCAGACGACAGACCAGTGCAGTAAGAGGGAGCAGCTGAAGGAGAAGAGGAAGGATCTGCTGAATGCTTGGCTGGCCAAGGTGAGGCAAAGGAAGATGAAGAAGACTAAGTTGGACAGAACAGAGGACGACCAGGGAGCTGGACACAACCAAGGTTAGAGGATCTCCCACAATAATACAGCATCAGGGACAATGATAGCTGATCAAACTAGATTGTATGGCTATGACTGTATTCTTCAACAGACGCATGCATACATACACGATAACATACGCACTATACACACACGCACACATGGATTTTGTGTTGTAGATATGTGGTAGTGGAGTAGGGGCCTGAGGGCACACACTTAGTGTTTTGTGAAATCTGTTATAAATGTATTTTAATGTTTTTAAAATGTTATAACTGCCTTAATTTTGCTGGACCACAGGAAGAGTAGCTGCTGCCTTGTCAGCAGCTAATGGGGATCCATAATAAATACAAATACTGCTCTATGTATATACTTTGGACTGTAGTGAATGCTGTTGTAAGTGTTGTCTCTTATATTACTTCCCTCAGAAGAGGAGGAGGACCTGATTGGGCCCCTGCCCCCATCGGATGAAGCCCCTGTGGAGGCCCCTGCAGTGAAGAAGGTGGTGGAGATCCAAGAGAGGAGAGACACCAAGCCAGAAGTACCCCACATCAGAGAGTGGGACAGGGGCAAAGGTAAACACTACTTCTTGTTTGTGGCTGACACGATTGGCATGAGTCTTTTTAGAATGAATGGGGATCATTGATGAATCACTGCCACCACACTGGCACAACGTGTATAACATGGCAAAGTAGAGCAGGAAAGATCCAGGTGTAACCAAGGACTGCTTGCTGCATTCAAGGCCTGTCAGATCATCTCTGGTCATTTCCTCCAGTGGGACACTGAAGAGTGGTATGCTTCCAGGAGGGTTAGGTCATTAACTATCTTCTTTTTCCAATATGACAACACTTTCCTTTCCTAGTGGACTTTTTTGGACGAGTCGGCGGCGGGATGATAGGGAGTCAGAGTTCGCTCCTCTCTCTGTGTACTCTGTCTACTCTCCAAGATGGCGAAGTAGTGCAGTCCTGTTTCTGTCGTGTGTCTGTAAATAGCCTGTAAATACCCTGTTTTTTTGTATTTTTCGTACATATTTCCCTATCAGACCTTTCATCCTTCTACAAAATATACTTTCCTGCAACCCGCCTCACTCAATGTGGAACGGATTCTATTATTGACTTACCTTTTATCTAGAATCTAGAATCTCCAGTTGAAACTAGCTAGCCAGCTAACTAGCTACTTGCTATTAGCCACAGCTAGCGGTGTTTTCACCCAGAACATTGGATTTTTTCCGCGGGATTAATTTTAATCACTGGACATTGATCACCGGATATTCGGCCAGTCTGCACAGCGCGTTATCGACCCAGAACATATCAGTTTTTCCGCGGAATCACTGATTCACTGGACCTTTAACTCCGGATTCATCGCTACTAGCTGGCTACAACCAAACGGACGCTGTGGTCTGGCTAATCAACCTGAGCTAGGCCCATCTCCCGGCTATCTACCTCTCTATCAACCGGACGGGACCACATAGTATTGACACGGAGCCCCGCCGATCCTACACGACTGGTCTGCCGACGAAATCGTCTGATGTGGTTACGACCTAACCACGAAGATTCCATCCATCTGCTAGCCCTGGCCCGTTAGCACACGCTTACTCACTAAACTGAACTAGCTACTGAACTAGCTACTTGCTATTAGCCACAGCTAGCAGTGTTTCACCCAGAACATTTGATTTTTTTCCCGCGGGATTAATTTTAATCACTGGACTTTGATCACCGGATATTCGGCCAGTCAGCACTGCGCGTTATCGACCCAGAACATATCAGTTTTTCCGCCGGAATCACTGGACCTTTAACTCCGGATTCTTCGCTACCAGCTGGCTACAACAAAACGGACGTAGCACACGCTAGCCGTGGCCTCTTACTCACTAGCACTTCACCACCGGACCTTATGATAACTCAGCTATACAGCTGATATCTGCTGGACTGTTCCTTTTTACGGTACTACATCCTGTTTATGTTTAGCCTCAGCCCAAACATGGTTAGTTTATTGTTGTTTCGGTTATTTCTAATTGTACTATATCACTGTAGACCCCCCAGCCTAGCTAAACCAGCCTTAGTTAGCTCCTTTGTCCCTCCACCCATACACTCAGAGACCGACTCAATTGATGCCTCTAGAGATACTATCTCTTTCAGTGTTACCCAACGCTTAGGTTTACCTCCACTTTACTCATATCCTTCCATATCCTTGTCTGTACATAATGCCCTGAATCTTTTCTATAACACCCGGAAATCTGCCCCCTTTATTCTATGTACCCAACGCACTAGAAGACCAGTTCTTAAAGCCTTTAGCCGTATCCTTATTCTAGTCCTCCTCTGTTCCTCTGGTGATGTAGAGGCTAACCCAGGCCCTGTAGCCCCCAGTATCACTCCTACTCCCCAGGAGCTATCATTTGTTGACTTCTGTAATCGCAAAAGTCTTGGTTTCTTGCACATAAATATCAGAAGTCTACTTCCTAAGTTTGAGTTATTCACTGCGTTAGCACACTCTGCCAACCCTGATGTTCTAGCAGTGTCTGAATCCTGGCTCAGGAAGGCCACCAAAAATTCTGAAATTTCCATCCCCAACTATAACATTTTCCGTCTAGATAGAACTGCCAAAGGGGGTGGAGTTGCAATCTACTGTAGAGATAGCCTGCAGAGCTCTATCATACTATCCAGGTCTGTGCCCAAACAGTTTGAGCTTCTACTTCTAAAAATCCACCTTTCCAGAAATAAGTCTCTCACTGTTGCCGCTTGCTACAGACCCCCCTCAGCCCCCAGCTGTGCCCTGGACACCATATGTGAATTGATTGCCCCCCATTTATCCTCTGAGTTTGTACTGCTTGGTGACCTAAATTGGGATATGCTTAATACCCCAGCCATCCTACAATCCAAGCTAGATGCCCTCAACCTCACGCAAATTATCAACGAACCTACCAGGTACAACCCTAAATCCTTAAACATGGGTACCCTCATAGATATCATCCTGACTAACATACCCTCTAAATACACCTCAGCTGTCTTCAACCAGGATCTCAGCGATCACTGCCTTATTGCCTGCGTCCGTAACGGGTCCGCGGTCAAACAACCACCCCTCATCACTGTCAAACGCTCCCTAAAACACTTTAGCGAGGAGGCCTTCCTAATTGACCTGGCCCAGGTATCCTGGATGGATATAGATCTCATTCCGTCAGTAGAGGATGCCTGGTTGTTCCTTAAAAGTAATTTCCTCTCAATCTTAAATAAACATGCCCCATTCAAAAAATACAGAACTAAGAACCGATATAGCCCCTGGTTCTCCTCAGACTTGACTGCCCTTGACCAGCACAAAAACATCCTGTGGCGTACAGCATTAGCATCAAATAGCCCCCGCGATATGCAACTTTTCAGGGAAGTTAGGAACCAATATACACAAGCAGTCAGGAAAGCAAAGGCTAACTTTTTCAAACAGAAATTTGCATCCTGTAGCACTAACTCCAAAATGTTTTGGGACACTGTAAAGTCCATGGAGAATAAGAGCACTTCCTCCCAGCTGCCCACTGCACTGAGGCTAGGAAACACTATCACCACCGATAAATCTACAATAATCGAGAATTTCAACAAGCATTTTGCTACGGCTGGCCATGCTTTCCATCTGGCTACCACTAACCCGGCCACCAACTCTGCACCCTCTGCTGCAACTTGCCCATGCTCCCCCCGCTTCTCCTTCACACAAATTCAGACAGCTGATGTTTTGAAAGCGCTGCAAAATCTGGACCCCTACAAATCAGCTGGGCTAGACAATCTGGACCCTTTCTTCCTAAAACTAGCCGCCGAAATTGTCGCAACCCCTATTACTAGTCTGTTCAACCTCTCTTTCATAACGTCTGAGATCCCCAGAGATTGGAAAGCTGCCGCGGTCATCCCCCTCTTCAAAGGGGGTGACACTCTAGATCCAAACTGCTACAGACCTATATCCATCCTGCCCTGCCTTTCGAAAGTATTCGAAAGCCAAGTTAATAAACAGATCATCGACCATTTCGAATACCACCGTACCTTCTCCGCTATGCAATCCGGTTTCCGAGCTGGTCACGGGTGCACTTCAGCCACGCTCAAGGTCCTAAACGATATTATAACCGCGATTGATAATAGACAGTACTGTGCAGCCGTCTTCATCGACCTGGCCAAGGCTTTCGACTCTGTCAACCACCGCATTCTTATTGGCAGACTAAATAGCCTTGGTTTCTCAAATGACTGCCTCGCCTGGTTCACCAACTACTTCTCAGATAGAGTTCAGTGTGTCAAATCGGAGGGCCTGTTGTCTGGACCTATGGCAGTCTCTATGGGGGTGCCACAGGGTTCAATTCTTGGGCCGACACTTTTCTCTGTGTATATCAATGATGTCGTTCTTGCTGCTGGTGACTCTCAGATCCACCTCTACGCAGACGACACCATTTTGTATACATCTGGCCCTTCATTGGACACTGTGTTAACAAACCTCCAAGCGAGCTTCAATGCCATACAACAATCCTTCAGTAGCCTTCAACTGCTCTTAAACACTAGTAAAACTAAATGCATGCTTTTCAATCGAACGCTGCTAGTACCCGCCCACCCGACTAGAATCACCACTCTCGACGGGTCTGACCTAGAGTATGTGGACAACTACAAATATCTAGGTGTCTGGTTAGACTGTAAACTCAACTTCCAGACTCACATAAAGAATCTCCAATCCAAAGTTAAATCTAGAATCGGCTTCCTATTTCGCAATAAAGCCTCCTTCACTCATGCTGCCAAACATGCCCTCGTAAAACTGACTATCCTACCGATCCTTGACTTCGGCGATGTAATTTACAAAATAGCCTCCAACACTCTACTCAGCAAATTGGATGTAGTCTATCACAGTGCCATCCGTTTTGTCTCCAAAGCCCCATACACTACCCACCACTGTGACCTGTACGCTCTTGTTGGCTGGTCCTCACTACATGTTCGTCGTCAAACCCACTGGCTCCAGGCCATCTATAAATCACTGCTAGGCAAATCCCCGCCTTATCTTAGCTCATTGGTCACCATAGCAGCACCCACCCGTAGTCTGCGCTCCAGCAGGTATATCTCACTGGTCATTCCCAAAGCCAACACCTCCTTTGGCCGCCATTCCTTCCAGTTCTCTGCTGCCAATGACTGGAACGAATTGCAAAAATCTCTGAAGCTGGAGACTCTTATCTCCCTCAATAACTTTAAGCATCAGTTGTCAGAGCACCTTACCGATCACTGCACCTGTACACAGCCCATCTGAAATTAGCCCACCCAACTACCTCATCCCTATATTGTTATTTATTTTGCTCTTTTGCACCCCAGTATCTCTATTTGCACATAATCTCTTGCACATCTAGCATTCCAGTGTTAATACTATTGTAATTATTCTGCACTATAGCCTATTTATTGCCTTACCTCCATAACTTGCTACATTTGCACACACTGTATATATATTTTCTGTTGTATTTCTGACTTTATGTTTTTTTTTTACCCCATATGTAACTGTGTTGTTTTTGTTGCACTACTTTGCTTTGTCTTGGCCAGGTCGCAGTTGTAAATGAGAACCTGTTCTCAACTGGCTTACCTGGTTAAATAAAGGTGAAATGAAATAAAAAAAAATAAAAAACTTCAGCGACGATAAGAGACAGGGCTACTGGAAATGGGCCAAACGGGAGCAAGACAAACCCAAAATGGTCTTCAAGTGGTCAGAGGGGCAGGGTGGAGGGCACAAGGAGCCACCCCAGGCCAAGCCCAAAAGTAGTCCTTTACCCCCAGTCAGGTACCCCTGTACCCTCTCAACCCACACCATCCCCTGGTCAGACCCAAAAGGCACCTGCACCTCCAGCCCCTCAGTGCCCCTCTCAACCCCCACTTCAGTACCCCCCCTCCCAACAGCCCCAACCCCAATACACACCACATGCTTCCACATTTCACTCCCAATTTGAACCTCCACCCTTTCACCCCCAGTATCTTCCTCCACCTCAACTTCAGTATGCAGCCCCACCTCACTACCCACCCCAGTACCCCCCTCAATACCCACCTCAGTATCCCAACAGACCCAAATTCAGCCCCAGTGCCCCCCTCAGCCTCAGACCCAGCCCCCCTCCCAGAGCCTGGATGACATGCTGTCCTTCTACAAGAACTCTGCTTGATACTCACAGACCAGAATCACACAGGTAACACATACATCTGTATTAAACTAACCCAAACACACAAACAACGTCGATGTGTATTAGACTATAGTGACATTACCATGATCTTTAAACCCCACCAAAGAGAAGGACCCATTTTCGTAATTTCATCTTTGATATAAAACTTTACTTTGATCTGTGATTAAAGGTTAGCATTTTGATTTGACATTGTGTTGTCGTTTTTGATTGCTCTATTGTCCTTAACTAGATATGGTTGTGTAATGGATCGATGCATGACTGAATCAGTCCATAGTTAGCTTAGTTTAGACTGGTGATCTTGTTCATGTGTGGTGATTGTGTGTTTTGAGTGACAGGACAATACAGAGGATCAGCTATGATGTAATAGGTCCTCTGTAGCTCAATTGGTAGAGCATGGCGCTTGTATCGTCAGGGTAGTGGGTTCGATCCCCGGGACCACCCATACGTAAAAATGTATGCACACATGACTGTAAGTCTCTTTGGATAAAAGTGTCTGCTAAATGGCATATTATTATTATTTATTTTATTTTAAGGTGTCATTGCACGCTGATGATTCATGTTTTCTTTTAAATCCACAACTTGAATCCCTCCACTGCCACATAGAGGATCTAGATACATTTTCTAACCTCTCTGGATTACAACCAAATTATGATAAATGTACTATATTACGTATTGGATCACTAAAAAATTCAATTTTTACATTACCATGTAGTTTACCAATAACATGGTCTGATGGGGATGTGGATATACTTGGAAAACATATCCCAAATGAAATAAATGATCTCACTCCAATATATTTTAATAGAAAGTTAGCAAAAATAGATAAGATCTTGCTACCATGGAAAGGTAAATACCTGTCAATTTGTGGAAAAATCACCCTGATTAACTCTTTAGTATTATCCCAGTTTACCTATTTGCGTATGGTCTTGCCTACGCCTAGCGAACAGTTGTTTAAATTATATGAGAATAAAAAATATTCCATTTTATTTGGAATGCCAAGCCAGACAAAATGAAATGGGCCTATTTATATAATGAATATGAATTCGGAGGACAGAAACGATTAATTATTAAAGCATTAGACCTATCACTAAAAGCTTCAGTCATACAAAAGTTACACTTAAATCCGAACTGATTCTCTAACAAATTAGTAAGATTCTCACCCAATGTTCAAGAATGGCCTTTTTCCCTTTATTCAGATTACAACCTCTCACTTTCAGTTATTTGAAAAGGAAATCTTCTCCCAAATATAATTATTTCTAAAACAAGCCATATGAAGTTGGTTGCAATTTCAATTTAATCCTCCAGAAACGACAGAACAAATAATGCAACAAATATTGTGGTTAAACTCAAATATACTAATTGATAAAAAACCATTTTTTTTTTATGTTTAAAAAAGGTATAATCTTCGTAAATTATATCATAGGTAGGACTGGTGGAGTTATGTCGCACATGCAACTAACAAAAACATATGGAAATGTATGCTCTACCCAAAATTACAACCAAATAATTGCAGCATTACCGCAAAAATGGAAGAGGAAAGTGGAAGGGGGAAAAAGTAAGGAACTTGTCTGTCGGGCCTGCATTAAAGAACATAATTGGTTAAAGAAAATTGTGATAAATAAAAAAGTATACCAATTTCATTTAAGGACCAAAGGATTGACAGCCGTCCCATATAGATTGCAAAATAGTTGGGAAGAGATTTTTGACGTACCAATTCCATGGCATAGTGTTTATGAACTGATACGCAAAATGACGCCGGATTCAAAACTTAGAATTTTTCAATTTAAATTATTATACAACATTCTTGCTACCAATAGAATGCTATTTATATGGGGGATACAATCTTCCCAGCTCTGCAGATTTTGCTGCGAAGAGACAGAATCATTAGATAATTTGTTTTGGTTCTGTCCATTTGTAGCTTGTTTTTGGACACAGGTCCAGGAATGGCTAAAGGATTGCAATATTTACCTGGAGCTAACCTTGCAGATAGCACTACTGGGTGATCTGAAAAGTCATAGTCAATCGATCAATAATATAAAAATAATTTTAGCAAAAATGTTTATTTTCAATTTACAATCTGTAGAAACAATGAGAATAGAAGGGTTCAGAACTTTTGTAAAACATCACAGTACAGTTGAAAAATATATGGCAAATAGAAATCCAATATGGATGGTGTTAAGAGAAAGATGGGAGGTGTTGAATGGAGGTGAACGATGGGGACTAATAACAACAACAAGATAACTAATGTAAAGCATACGGTGTCCATAATAAGTATATAGGTTATAGGTTGAGAGCTTTTGTGAAAGAGCACAGATGTGGCAAATAGAAGCAAACCGGATGAACATCATGAAAATGATCAGAGAAGGTTGAGGGTAGAGGAAGTTCAGGAGTAAAAACAAACTAAATATAATTATTATTAGTATGTATAAGCTGGAAGTAGAGGCCTAAGCATTGTTGTTCACTAGTTTACTCCAATTAGGGAAGGGGTGGTGGGGTTGGGAAACATATATATATATATAAATATATATATATATATATATATATATATATATATATATATATATATTTTTTAAAGGATGTATGTATTTATATGTATGTGTGTGTGTATATATATATATATATATACACAGTTGAAGTCGGAAGTTTACATACACCTTAGCCAAATACATTTAAACTCAGTTTTTCACAATTCCTGACATTTAATCCTAGTAAAAGTTCCCTGTCTTAGGTCAGTTAGGATCACCACTTTATTTTAAGAATGTGAAATGTCAGAATAATAGTAGAGAGTGATTTATTTCAGCTTTTATTTCTTTCATCACATTCCCAGTGGGTCAGAAGTTACACACTCAATTAGTATTTGGTAGCATTGCCTTTAAATTGTTTAACTTGGGTCAAACGTTTCGGGTAGCCTTCCACAAGCTTCCCACAATAATTTGGGTGAATTTTGGCCCATTCCTCCTGACAGAGCTGGTGTAACGGAGTCAGGTTTGTAGGCCTCCTTGCTCGCACATGCTTTTTCAGTTCTGTCCACACATTTTCTATAGGATTGAGGTCAGGGCTTTGTGATGGCCACTCCAATACCTTGACCTTGTTGTCCTTAAGCCATTTTGCCACAACTTTGGAAGTATGCTTGGTGTCATTGTCCATTTGGAAGACCCATTTGCGACCAAGCTTTAACTTCCTGACTGATGTCTTGAGATGTTGCTTCAATATATCCACATAATTTTCCTTCCTCATGATGTGGTAGAAATATTTGGCTAATAATTAATCAACTCAAAAATATCTCTCAAGACACCAGGGCTTGTGAATCCAAGAATTATACTTTATTGCATAACAAAGCCGAGCTTGCTCCATGGAACAACTGTCTCTCTGGCTTAGAGATCTCTTATATACACACAAATGAACAAACATGCGTACATTCCTAACTTATTTTAGTTCTGCACCACCCTTCTTTTTCAACGTCCAGCTGTCACACAATGTCCACTCCAAAAGGTCATGAATGCTTTTTTCTATATGAAGCCTCTCATTCTATCATTCTATTGGCTGCGTGGCTTAGGCCCCTTCTTAAAAAAGAACTAATGTAATGCACACTGTTGAGAGCCTCTGTGAAAGAACACATGCATTCATTTAAAACACAGCATATACTACATGTCTATATTCCTTATTTAAGCATGTATCTGGATTATAAAATATCAAACATGTTTATTATATTTTACCTTTGGCATCTCCCTACATGTACCTTAATGATACATAAAATAATACCATATAATCCCCCCTATGGGACATTCCAACAATGTCCCAACAATACAAAGATTAATTGTAAAAATGAATATAAGCATGTGCATTTCCTTATTTCTAACCTTGCCATATGTGGCTACATTTTACGTACATATATTTAAACCAATATATCTTCCTCATTACTTGACCCATCCTGATGAGGACCCATAGCCCAGTCAGGTATTGATTACAAGTCTAGAAGGTTTTCCTCTAAATTAACCTCCACATTTTCCTGTTGGGCTTTGTAACCATGGCAAGCCCATCCACCCCCAGGAACAACTCCATACAAACATTCAGAATTCCCAAATGGACAATCCATTGGTCCTCCCTTAACGTTTACAAAATGTCCCATATTCATTTACATACTGTCCTGGAGCTCCCTGAACTGGATGTATTTCTTTATAAACAATGCTCCCCACTTTTGTTTAGTTATAGCCTTTCCCATATATGTGTTAGTATCCTATCACATCAACATATGCAACTTTGTCTTAACAATAATATCGAGGACATGTTTAAGAATGGTGTCAATATCTTTAGCTTACATAACCTTTTTCACCCATATCACAAGTATTATAACAATCAAAATAATCAATATCCATATCTAATCAAGTAATTGCCATGTCAACATCACTAAGCATTAATATTAATAAGTTATTCAGATCAATCAGTCCACTTATAATTTATAATCATAATCAAATTAATTACCCAAAACAACTTTAGAATGACAATTCTTAATTAGTCACCTTTGTTCCATCATTCAATGTTAAAACTCTCACCTTGGCACATATTGACACTGGCCGAATGTATATTTATATTATAATAATTCTAGCATTAACTTCCTCATAACGAGAATTACAACAGATCAGTACCTAAATGCATTGTCCAAATTACTATACATTTAGTAGTGTATAATACCTCCTTAATCAACATACTACCTCAACTAACACTCCCTTCCTCTACCGGCACTCAATCTTCTGGCGTCTTCATTATGTTCTTCAGATAGCTTCATAGTTCATCTTGGATTACCCATAGCAATGTCCCAATTCCAATGTCACACCTGAACCGCCACACCTCCACCATCATCCTGTTTTGTCCATGTGCAAACCAGTATACTCAAACTAGGAAGAACGTTGCATTTGCATAGACCTCTTTCCTCACATTCTTGAAAGAAAAGGCACAAAAGAGAAGGCAATTGATTGCTTTGA